CCCCCCCCCAAACCAAAAAAAAAAGATTCTAACAAAAAATCTTTGTAGTCATCTATGAATGTAACCGAAATTCTGTTCAGACATAGCTAATTCTCTTATTATCATGCAACACAGGTAGTGTTCTTTAAATTGCGCAGCCTAATTTTAGCCAATCATTACATGTAATAAACGTTTAACCCTTTTTTTTTTAGAAGTGAGATTTGTTGTTTGCAGTTCCGTAACTCAGTGGATACTAGGCCACTCTACCCCTCTCCACTTAAATAGACCAGACTTGGTTCACCAGCAGGATTAGAATTCTTGACGTGCACCTATGATACATCATGCATTGTACTACCTTTACTGTTGAACCACAGCCCTTTTTAATTCAATTGAATCGATTTATATACCTGTGCATCTTCTTACCATGAAAATAATCATCCTTCTGCATTTGTTTCTTTCTGTTAATCTATGAGATTATTTCAGATGCCTTTCAAATAAGTAAAATTAATACGATATAACTGTTTATACTCCATAATCTTTCTTCTTTGACTTACTTTCCAGTTTTGTCTGTAGCTCCTTTATATAAAATTTATAGGAAAACGAATCATAAAGCAAGGTGGAAATGAATATTCCATGGAAGTAAAGGTAGCTTATTGGGGTGTTAATTTATGTCCTCCTAATTGATGACTAAATGGTTTATCTTAATTTTTGCCTCAAGTTTTCATTTGTATATAATTTAGCTAGAGTGGAGTCTTATGACCGCTTCGTTCAACCTGAAATTTAAGTTGTGGAAACTTGCAGATGATTTTCCCAAAATAACCATCATTGGCCTCATGGCAGAACAATGTCACCTAGAATCTCTTTTTTGATATTTTTCCTTTCAATTTCTTACTACAATATTTCCTAATTAGATACTAAGTTACTTAACAGAGCCCAACTGTAAAAAGAACCCAAATAAAAAAAGGACACATATTGTAAGAGGCAAAATGCTAAAGCTCAATTGTTCACTCTTCAGGAAACAGAACCGCATGCAATCCCCAAAAAGTAGCAAAGGTATCTTAGAACATATCACGGGCGCTTTCGTGCCCAATGGACACAAAATACCACCTGAGACCCGAAGTAAATTCTATATTCGCAATCTAAGAGATGGAAAAAGGTTACCAATAGAATCAATCGCCAGCAAAACCTTCATATTGCAAGCTATCTGATGCATTGGTTAACCTCTCAATGTCTCCTGAAAGCAAGACATGCAGCATTAGTTACCCAAAACAATAAACAAAATACCAGTAATCTGACCTTGATGCTGTACCTACCATTTGGATCAAGCAAGTTTCCTGTGTCTGTTGCTAGAAAAGAAGTCCTGGAGTAGCTCTCTAGTATATCTGAACATGGTGGGAAGAGATCAAGATGATTAGACCCAGAACTTGGAAAATGGAAACAAAAAAAAATGACTGGAAAAGTTACAAAGGGCAGGAGAAGTAGACTTACCAGAACTATTAGAGAAGTCAGTTGACAAGCCTGAGAGACCAAAATTTTGAGGAATTTCCCCTAAAAATCCAAATGAAGTGGTGTCAGCATCTGGAAGTCTGTTGAGAGGTTGTGACTTCAACTGCATGCTATTAAATGGCAAAATAGATGCACCACCCAGTGCAGAACGTGACTCCAAGAAACTGCTATGAGCACCAATATTGAAATGAGAATTGTTAGCATAGTTTGGTTCTGTCTTAATAATCTTTCCCTCCATTGTTTGTCTCATCCCCATATTCGAGGGTTGGGCCAACAAGATATTTGGAGTAACATTAATCTTCCTGCTTTGTGCAGAAACATCATCTGCTGGTTGCATGCAGGAAAGAACTGCCAAGCTGCAATTACTGAAAGTGTTGGGTAAACTGGTAGGAATTGACTCATGCATGTGTTCAGGCTTTGAAGTATATCCAACATTTTCTACAGCACGGCAAGCCAAATTTTGGTGAACTGTAGTAAGGCGGGAATAGTTTAACATTAGAAGGAGACAGCTACTTAAATGCAGGTTTTGTGAGAACACATTTAGCAGCACAAATAAGCAAAAAAAAGCACATAAACAATGGACATCAACTTGGATATGTTTTAATCTTATATATTAAAGAAATCAACTTGGTATGTTTAGACAGGAACAGCAGCAGTCCACTCCAGTAGAGAACAATACTCTCTATGCTTGTTGCACACAATATTGAAACAATTGACACACAAACAGCTGCTCAAAATTCCACATGTTGCTATCAGAGTTTTGCATAATAGTAAACTCAGTGGATCAGCAGAGGTATCGCAGGACATAACAAGCTAAATACATCACTTCCTGACTGCTTTCTGCATTTCTGGTGAATTACCAGATTAGGAAGCAAGCTTTCTGTAGACACAAGGAAGAAAAGAAAATGGGACGAGCAATTAGAGTTCTTCAGGTATAATCAGAGATTCTTCTTGAAACGATCCTCCCCTCTAGCAGGTATAAATAACCTCATCCTCCGCACACACACACCCCACATAATATGTAACCTCCAGGTAACCGGAACCATTGACCTTCCCCTCTAGCTCAAACAAAGTCCCTATACCATTTACTTTATAAACAAAAAAGTTAACATGGAGAAACTACCGAAAACATTTAATCAGGTCTATGCTTTTGATGAAGACATTATAGAATCCTGACTCATTAGATAAGGGTGCAACAAGTGAAAATCCTGACTTGGAATTTGAATAGCTCATGAAATGCAATAAAAAATCCAGACTCAGCAAGCCAATTATATTTTTATTTTTTTTGAGAAGGTAACATATCTGTATATTAATATATAGACTTCACTAACTTTGTGAAGTCACCCATAATTACAAAATGAGTGCCCAAAAGAAAATTAAAACACTTATAATCCTTGGTCTTCTCACAAGGAATCTAGCACATCAAAAAT